ATTGAAGGATACTGTGAAACAGAATGGCATATGAACTTTGGAAGCAAACCAATATAAAGTAAAAATTTTAAAACAAAGAATCATGTCAAAATCTTCATGCAAGAGCTTGTTGCTCTGTTAGGGTCGTCGCATCCACCATGACTCATAGTGACCCTGTGAACAACAGTTTAGATCCCTGCCCTACCCATTACCAGTCTCATGAGCTCTGCCATGTTTGCCCATTGCTGTAATCACTGTATCAGTCTCTTTCACTGACCGTCTACCATTCCCAGCCTGGTGTCTTTTACCAAGGATTGACCTCTTTTGGTAACATACCCAAAATATGTGAGAGAGAATTTCGCCATCCTTGTCTCTAAGGAGAACACTGGGTTGCCCTTCCTCAAAACCAAAAAAAAGATTTGTTTATTTTCCTCAAAAAAAAAAAAAAAAAGATTAGCTTATTCTTTTGGCCGTCCATGGTGTGCATTCAGTACTCTTCAATGTAGGAGATAACTGGTTTTAAATTCAAAATTATATGAGAATACAATTTTCTGATTACTATCTTCTTTCTAATATAAAGAGAATATTTGACAACTCGTTAATAACCTTTTTATTAAACATTTAGTTTTATTTAATAGCAGCAGTGTAGTCCTATTTACAATGTACTATAAATGTGTAAATACTAAGAGATAATTATCTTTTTTTAAACTCGTTTTAACAACAATGGAAGATAATGGCATTTCAGGTATGTAGCCCATGTCTGCTATAAATAGCCCATATTCAGACATTTCATTCAGAAATGAGCTTTTGAATAAAATTGGAAAAATACCTCTCATTAAAATTACTTCGAAAACATATCACATCATTGTCTAGTCATGTCTACTTAAATGAAATGTATTTATTTGTGAAGCAACAAAAAGAAAATCCCTTGCTGGGCCTGTATCATTTTCCACTTCAGTTGTAGAAAAGGGTGCCATGTTGAAATCATTTGAGGCATGAAACAGGCTGGTCAGTCTCTCTAATCGGGAAGGGAGGGTGCCTTATGCACCATTTCATTTCCTGTGTTGTTTTTCAGGAGATGGCTACAATCAGTCACCTTGCATATGGTTTGAAAAAGGCCTGTCTCACTGGCAAGCAAACTGTTATTTAAGTACACAATCCACTCTACTACTGAAACAGTTTTGCCAAACTTATCCAAGTATTCTCATATGCTTAAAGATGGTATAAATATCATTTATAGCTAGCAGTTTTCTTCAGACTATATGGAATGTCTTCCTGCTGCCTAATCTAAGTGTCCCAGTTTACATTATGGCCTTTACTGCCTCTGTTTGATGGAGTGATCAGTAAAAATTTAATGACACTATAAAATAATAAAAATGTCATTAATTTACCACGGATCTCGGATGCAGTGGTTGTAAAGTTACATTAATAAACAGAATATTTTTTACAACAAAAAGCATTGTTACGTGGGAACGTATAAATAACACACATAAATTTAAGAGCAATTTTACTGTTAGCACACACATTATTATGGAATAGCCAATAAGTGTATAAAACATAGTATATAAAATTTTATTAAAATATACTGTGCACATCAAAAATTCAGCTTTTATCTAAGTGCAAAGAAAAGCCATTATTGTGTGCTTACTGTTTCATTGCTGTTCTTTTTCCAGATCACAATTTTACATTTGTTGCCAGTAAGAGGGAGTTGATTTTTCTTCCCACTGGATGAAAACAAGCCTCTTCTCTTTTAGTTACCCAGACCTATTCTCTCCCTCCACCGATGCAGTGACAAATTGATCATTCTTGCCATGGTAGGGAGAGAAAAGTTGCTAATTTAATGCAAAGTTAAAAATAATGCCTGAGGAGTTGAATGGTTTGTTCAGTGACTCTGGAAATCAGGGATAATGATGTAGCAGTCTATCTGTCATCACTGAAGCTGCCCCATCCCTGACTCTGATAATATGTGAAGATGATGGATGCCACCATCTTGTGGCTTGTAACATTTAACATTCATCAGCTCTCACTAAAGGGGGCTTTATCATTTAAATATCTTTATTTAATATGCAACATCTCCCTCATACATCATCATTTCAAAGCACTTACAGAGCCAACCATCCTACAACACAGCAGAGCTGACTTTCATTTTTTCCACTAACTTTTGTTGCATGTGTGTTTGTAATTGACAGTGTGTTAGTAAGTGTCGATCACTTGCTGCATGCGAAATGTTCACTACCAACATAACAACTGGAAGATTGGGAGATTTTCAGGGTGCAAGGGTTAGGATTCAGGTAGCACTTGAGGTATTTTCATCTCTCTTCAGAATAACTTACTGAAGTATGTAAATTCTGAGAGTTATTTCAAGTGTGTAGCAGACTTTCGAGTGAAGAACTTGCCACCCACAGTCCCATATGGGGACATCCCCACTTTCAGTGGTGGCCTGAAGTAGAAACCTCCTAGAATTCTGTCCCGTGTCCACATCCTGTATTTATTGAGTTCATATTCGACCTCACTGGTGAAATCTTTGCTTAGCTCAGCTGTCCAGAGCTAACTTGTACACATCAGACCCTCTTATCTTATGGTTATGTGGCTGGCAAATAAGTATTCTGAGGTATTCTTTGAAGCAAAGAAGGAAATCTTCTGGGAGAGTAGGTGAAAGTTTCTATGAAAGGGCATAGCTTTGTAGGGCCGTTCTTTAATCTCAAACACAAGTGCTTAATATTATCACATTTAAAATGCAGTCTACTGCCCAAAACAATTTTTATCATTGATTTATTTTCTGCCTATTTAACAAGTGTTTCATGGGATATTCTGCCTTCACTTCAACTCTGTCAAAATATTGATATTTTATAGGGAACGTATCTCTGCAGAAGAATTTTTTTTCAATGAAGTCAAAGAAAATGCATGACTTCAAAGACACTGTGAATGTGTTGTTGAATGTTCTGAATGTTTCTTGTTATGATTAAAAACAAGCTGATACTACTGAATTGTGAGTGCACTTCATTTTTTATAAAAGAAAAGATATTATCATCATGTAAGCTTTGTTGTCTTAGGATTTTACAAACCATGGCATGTAATTTTCCCTCTTTTTCTTCCTTGTCAAAATATTGATATTCTTTCAGGAACTTTATTTATTTATTTTTTTTAACTGAGAATATTTTCCAGTAAAATCAAAGAGAATGAATGACTAGAAAGATACTTGAAATATGCATATTGATAGGTAGCACGGTCTGTTGATTTTCAGAAAAAGTTGTTTTCCCCCCATGAAAATACAGTGAAAGGTTCTTCCAAGAAGATTGCAGGTGTCACATCAAAACTCCTTTTGCATTTAACATCACCAAAGCATTCACATGCAAATATTTGAAATGTGAAACAATGTGATAAAACAAAGGTTGAATATTTTGCTTTCCCTGATACTACTCCCTCTTCACTTTCATTCTCTTCCTTTACATCATGACAACGGAAAGTGCTACTTGAAAGTAGAAATGGGCTGATTAAAAGCAGCTGTCCTCCCCCTCAGACAATATGCGAAACTCCCACATGGCTTGTGGTTGCTTTTTGTTGTGTCCTGCATCTGGGTTAATTTGTTCTTGTGCAGCCGTGTTTTCACATAAGAAGCTATTGGGGAAACCATGCCTAATTTGATTTTTATTTTCATTCCGTTTTTCTGAAAGTGTCCTATTTCTGAGATTTTCCCCCCTCCCACAAACTGCTATTGTGACAAGTTAGTATTACCCAGTTGGGGAAATTTGTGATTATACTTTTGTTTCAAATCTCTCATAGAGATGGTGCAAGATTAAAGTAAGGCTTATGCAGTGTTTTCTTCCAGCACAGATTCCAATATATACCATAATGAAGGGGAACTGGAAGACTTCCTGCACAATTTGACTGATGGGAATTAATTATAGAAATATAATGATATTCAAAAATAATCATATTAGAAAGCACAAATGTAGGGAAACTGTATAAATGAGGCACAGCCTCTATCAAGTAATTGTATGTTTGCTCTTTAAGAATATTTCCAAGTTTCTAAACATCTTACAGAACACTCACAGTGTTCCATCTGATGCCGAACATGCTCAGTACAGAACTAGGTCATTGAACAATAGACGGAACAGCAAGCAGCACTCTACTGCTGCATAATGCATTAAGTATAACATGCAGAAACCATTCCCCGAGCTGGAAGCTGCTATTTCATGTCTGCACATTCAAGCTGACATGACATTTAATATTGTTTCATAGTAATGAACAACAAGGTTTCATTCATTCATAAGCACAACACAAAGCCAAGTTTGAGCCTGGAGAGTAGCACGGAGTCAAGAGGGGGGGAAAGTGTTGTGTTTCTGCAGACAAGAACGCTATATGAAGGATGGCCAATGAGACCTCTGCTGCTGATCCAGAGGGCTGCAAGGGAGCATTCATTGTGATGCTTCGGACTCCTGTTGCTAGAAAAACTGCTTTTCAGGATTTCTCCTATAGCGACAGGAATATTCAACTTTCCTAATTTGTGTAAAGGCCTCCTTTTCAGTTCCCAGGAAGTCACAGGTGAAACTTCTAGGCAAAATAATAGTATCGCTATGATATCGTCTAGTCATGCTGCTTTGAAATATTGTCCTTGGAATCTCCTAGTTTCTGTTTTTTAAGTGGGAATACTTCAAAGCCTATTCAGTTTTAGCAGTGTATTTTAATATAAAATGCTCCTTAAATTAAGTTTGTCACTTTTGTCTTAGAACTCTTGACTACTTTCCTCCTGGATTACTGGAGACAGTCCATGGTGCACACGATGTATGGTATAACTCTGGCAGGCTTCCTGTCACAGGTCTCCTCCCATCCCAGGTACTATAGTTTAGATGTTGTTGGTACTGCCAGCATCACAATCAAGTTCTATTGGAATCATCTAGGATGACTTGCCAAGTCAGAAATTCAAATCCAAGCCTTGGCCATAAAACAAGATAAGAATAGAAAGAAAAGGTAGCTACTCTGGAAGCTGAAATAAACCTTGTGATTATTCTTTCCTCTAGGAAAGAACACGCTTTGAGAATTTGGGGCCCCAGTTAACAGGGAAGTCAAGTGAAGATGGAAAGCTGGGCCCAGGTGTCATCGACCTTACTCGGCCAGAAGATGCAGAGGGTGAGTGGCTTTCCCATAACTCTTTTCTGCTGCCCTGTGTGTTTCCAAAGGTGTGTCTGACTCAAGTGTGAAACTTAAGGCCTTTCTTTGATGACATCAACTAGATACTTGAAGCAAAGCAGAGGAAATGTTTGTCTCTATTATTTGTTACAGTTGAGGCCTTCGACAAGAATCTGTAGTACAGAGAACTGGCAATCTGAGTACTTCAGCAAAGTCATTTTAAAGTTTTAAAATAAAATTTCAGTGAATAAAATTAATAAAATTCTGTTTTATCTGCCTCACTGCATTCATCCTTAAAAAAAAAAAAAAAAAGAAAGCAAAGGAGGTTGTTTGGAAACAAAACAAAACAACACAGCCCAAAACTTTAACCATTTGGGAAAATAAAAAGTTATACTTTAAAGCTGATTTTTTAAAAAACTCATAATTGCTTGGAATAGACTGGACCAGCCTGTACCTAGACACTGAGCATTACTGAAGTCTTGAAAGTCTGGGTCGAAAAGACCAGCTCTACTCTCAGAATGTTCACCCACAGCACCATCAATGCCCGTCTGCTCCTCTTCCCTTTTTGTTTGTTTGTTTTAAATGCACAAGCAGCAAATCAGCAGAAATTGCTCCCCAGAGGCGGGGTACAATTTATGAGTTAGGTCAGCACTTCAGTAGTAATGTTGCCTGGTTATTTACTGTGTCATCATCACAGGGTTGGGACTGGTTTTCCCGTTAGCTGTTTTTTTTTTTTTGGCAAAATCCCTCCTAGCAGTCAGGAAAGATTAATTTGTTCTCTTTAGAGTAACACAATACTTCACCCATCTCAGGTCCCAAGCTGAAGTCCTTTAGCTGGAGGAGAAGAATCTTACTAGTATCCCTATTACCAGCAGGATTTCTTCCAGGACCCTAATCCCTTGAAAACACACAAAGACATCTCAGAGCACATTTAAATTGGGCATGGCTGCTGGTGATAGCTTGGGGCAATCCCAGGCAGTTCAGAAATCCCAGGCATGAACACTAAGAGATAGGTAGTAACAGACGTGAAGAAGCATTTCAGGGAGTTCCCAGAAGTAGACTTTTCATACCAGCACAAGAGACTAATGTTTGGTGCTAGTCCTGGGGACAAGGTGTTAAAATAAATTCTGATAGGCCTATGCCAGGTACCCATGTGAGAGAGATACAGGAGAAAGAGAGGTGGAGGGGTGGAGGTGGGAAGGAGAAGAGAAAGAGGAAGGAAAGGAGGGATAATGAGGAGTTAAAATTGGAAACTGTCTGCAGAGCACACTAACATTTTTCATGAGCACTTAGAAATGCAAGCTTTTCTACTAACAAGGCTTGTAGCTCCTTGGCCTAGAGCGTTCAAACAACGGAGTGTGGATAGTTAACCATCTGACAGCAACACCAACTATGGCTTCGTGTGGAAACTATGGTTTGTGTGGAAGTGTCTCAGGTCTTGGCTCATTTTAATTTTATTGGATGATTATACTTCAAAGTACCTAAGCCCTAGAACCACCACTTTTTGAAAGGATTTTATTGATTCATTGGATCATAATCTAGGTGCTAGGGAATTCTTTCACCTTACTAAAAGTCTAACAAGGTCCTAACAGAGTTCTCTTAAACTGACATTTGCCATTTTCACTTGGGTTTTTAAACTGTGTGTTGTTGTTGTTGTTGAGTTGCCTCTTAGTAATGCTGAGATGTCATCTGGTTATTGTCAGGTACTGTCCAGCCTATTGGGCTCTGAATGACTCTATACAACAGACTGGCACCCTGTGCAGTCTGCTGCCGTCCTCACAGTCTCTGATGTGCTGAGCCCCTTATTGCTTCACTGTGCAAATCTGTGTAGTAGGTTAAAAACTATGGTCAGAGTTACTAACCATTATGAAAGGGAGAAAAAAGAAGAAATCACAACTGTAGAGAAACATATGTGTAGAAATATGCAAAATCCAGATGTCTCGATTTTGAGAAATAATCATTTTCTTGGAGGTTGGATTTGCTTATTTGGTTAGCAAGCCTTCATTAGGTACTAAATAGGTCAGAAAATACCTTTATATATGCACTTTTCCGTCTAAAATATATGAAATTCAAAGAATCAAGTAGTATTTATTCCATTTTACATAGGAGAAAATTGAGATTAAAAGTCATTAGACGGAGATGAGATTGACCCCAGGCAGGTGGAACTAGAACCTCAGCTCTCTAACACGGTGCTTTACCCACTCTTTAGTACACATGTACACATAAATATTTGGTGCCTTTGTTTTTCTGAGCAAACTCCTTGTGACCTTCCTCAGTATGGCCCATTTCCTCTCCCCTAAATATAGCAAGTCATACCATACACCAGCTCTCGTGTTACTCTGTCACACTTAGCCGTGATGCCTGATGAGTGTAACAGTAGAAGGGCTGTAGTGGCCCAGGAGCTTAAGGAGCGTGTGAAAACCTCCCTTCAGAAGCTTGCCCAGTGATGCCATTGAGACCTCATGTGCTTTTGGGGCACTGTGAGTTCATGAATGGAGTCAGGTTACTGGCTTTAATACTGACAAGAAGCTCAGTGCTTTTGTGAGGGCTGCTGGGATGGGGAGATGGCTTCTGCTGAGTGGAAGCTATTTCCTGGTGACTGTTCAAATTTGAGTGGATTGCAAAGCTCTCTGGAATTACAGTTTATATTAAAGTTAGAGGATATAACAGGCACACATAATACTTTCTCCATTTTGATCCTTCATATTTTCCTTAAAAGGGAGGTTTATGGAGGAAAGTATTGGAGGACCTAAAAAACCAGAAAAACAAACAAACAAACAAACAAACATGAAAACATTAATTCAGTTGTGCATGATCCAGAAAATATTTATTGAGTATCTTCTATGTACCAGTTACTGAGTATACCATGAGAAACAAAATGAGGATGTCCTTCACCTCTTGGAGCAGTCTTGTGAGTTGTGAGAGAAGGAAAGAAATTAAAAGGTAAATAAATACATAGTATTACTGAGGAAAATATTGTGAAGATCAGACTGCATCTCCTCTTTGTGCACATACGATCCAGAGCATGGCCTAATAGGAAACTTTAATTGACAGATAAAGTCTGTAGCTCTAGTACGTACGTGATACCTCCGTGATACTCCATGATTCTATTGTGGCTTTGGAAAGGCAGTTTTAAGGGCCTCTGTCTTCCTCTACATCTACCCTATCTTCTCTGAAGCTTCTACAGTAATGATTCAGTCTAGAAGATGAGGCCCAGTGTCAGTCAGACTTCTTAAGAAAGTGTATGTCAGTACTAACCATGACAAGACCTGCTTCACAGCCCTGGGCATGGAGGCAGTGCAGGAAAGGTCACCAGAAGAGGCAGCTGTGCGTGTGTATTAACCACTCATCAAAATCAAATGACAAAACCATAAGCAAGGAAAACAGAAATTAAAAATATAAAAGGCAAATGCCTTCAAAATTTTATTTTTAAAGTCCAGCTGTTATTTGGCTTGAATGTGACAAGACAGCATTTCTTGTTCACCATGATATTTATAAAACTACAAATTCACTAGTATTGAAGACTTAGGAAACATGTTTAAGGTCTTGTTTTACTTTGAAGCAGTTGAAAGCTTAATATACAAATATACATTGCATACCCAAAATTTGTTAGCTCCTACATAAGGAAGAGAAGACTAGGTTACTTCTGTCTGTCATCATGCATTAAGAATTAAGATCAGCTGTTTAACTTTTTTGAACTTGTCTTATAACATTTCCCCCCTTCTTCATCTGCTTACTAAACCAAACTACTTACCATCAAGTTGATTCTGTCATACAGCAATCCTATAGGAGAGAGTAGAACTATCCAGAGAGTTTCTAAAGCTGTAAATCTTTACCACATCAGACTGCCATGTGTCTCTCACCAAGCAACCAGTGGATTTGAACTGCTTACCTTTCCGTTAGTGGGGTTCCTTCTAAATCTTCTGAGGAAAGAGTAATTCTTAGCCCAATTCTCCCAATGTCAAAGTTGCCTTAATATAATAGCATAGTATAATATGTACACAGCATAATAGGCAACCTTGACATTGGGAGAAACAGGATAATTAAAGAGGGTAATCATAGTTTACTAGTACTATTCTTGCTTTCCTTTTTTTAAAAATTAATTTTAATGAAAATTTTCAGAGACTTAGGGTTTCCAGTCATTTATTGTTGCACTTTTCTCCCTCCTCACTTCCTCCCCCAATTCACTTTTCTCCTTGAAAAGAAAGAAAAACTCTTTCATTGTTATGCAATCCCTCCTCCCAAGTCCATTCCACTATGTAGCCTTCATTCTGGGATTCTGTAATGACAAGAGACTTGGATTCAATTTCCAACCAATGCACAACCATCACTCATGTATCGTATCAGTAGAGGCTTTCATGTTGCTGTGATGTGAAACAGGTGTTAGTAGAGCTTCCAAATGGAAATATATTAAGAGTAAAGACCTAGTGTTACTTAAGAATATCAATAACAACCCTATTGATAACATCGGTCTGATTTGTAATCAGTCATAGAATTGGTGCAAGTTTGTTCCATCGTACACAGGGTCACCTTGACCAGAGGGTTGACTGCATGTCAGCTAACAACAGTGTAATAGAGAAAGCTCTGGCCCAGTGGTTGCTAGATTTGGATACATGTTCATTTACTAAGTGACTAATGCCTCTAGGCTTGTTTCTACATTTTTTTAAGAAAGTATGTTGGATTTGATTATCTCTAAGAACCCTTCCAAATAGGATTATAATTAGTGTCTTCATAAATAAAACACAGGGTGTTTTAGGCCAAACTTTTGGACCCTAGATTGGAACTATAATGATGTACTATCCTCTGTGTATTAAAATTTTGCATTGATTTGAACGGAAATGGATATGTGCACCAAGAATAAACCCTTTTAGGACTCTCAGTCTCAGATTCTCAGATTTGCTTAGAAGGGTTTTATGGATTCATACAGAATTTGTGACTTGGATACCAGCCAAGATGGCCTTACCCTTCTGAAAGCTTCTTTTTTTCTTTTTTTAAAACTT